TCAAACGTAAATTTGGCTAAACAGTATTTTCAAGCATAGGCCCCTTTTCCATCACCATTGACATGAACTCAATTTCTAATATTAATTACTTCTGAACTTATTCTTCCATGAAAATAAAAGAATTCCCTGACTTTTCCAGCAAATACCAAATTACTTGATAATATTACTGCTTCATCAGTATTGATACCAATACTGACTATGTCAAAAACCAAAATTATAATACTTCAAGTGCAAAGTAAAGCAATTTTTCCCAGAAAGAATTGTAGTGAATGTGGAAGAAACATTTTGCCTATGCCATTTTAGCAATTTAGGATTATTTCTCCTTAAAGAACCATTCAGTCCACTTCAGAAGATTCTCCATGCCTGGCTTTGTTATGTTTTCTTGAACTTCTTAAACTTCCAATGAACTGCAGGATGGCAGGATCCACGGGACTGCAACCCATATTTTGTGGATCTTGAGGGTTGGAGAACCAGCCATAACTGCATTTGCTATATTCAGGCAAATCAAAAAATACTCCAATTCCAACTTCTGGAAGAAGAGAAAGAAACGGGGAAAAAAGAAGAGGAGACTGGACGATGAATAGATAAAGGATGTGAAACTTTTATTTGAATATCAATAATGCAATAATATAATTACTGTGTAACTGACAAATGTTGAAGTTCCTTAAAGATGGAGAAGAGCAAGTAACCTTATAAGTTGCCATACTCTTTATCTCAACATCTCTGAACAACTTCATGCTACATTCCAACAGAGCTGGAGGAAGTCAGCTTGGGACTCCAAAACACTGTCATGCTCTGTCATATTTTATTTTCAATGTAATTGAATTATAGAATGCCGGCATCCACATTATTGGGACTTCAGCCCCATATTTGTGGATCTAGAGGGAATCACCCACGTGGGCAAACCAGTCACTGCTGCATTTGATAAATGCAGACATATAAAAAAATATTACCAATTCCATGTTCTAGAGGAAGGGAAAGAGTTGAGGAAAGTTAAATTTTTATTTTAATACTAATATTGTGGTAGTACAATCTTCTGTTAAACCACCACACAGCACAGGTGAAGAAGAGGAGGTAACTTGTTAAGTCACCAAACTCTATTCTCAACACCTGTGAATAACTTAACATATCATAACTACAGTCCTTGAAGAAGACAGCATGGGACTCCAAGCATTGCCAGTTAGCCTCCCACAAACTGAAATCGAAGAATTGCAATGTCAATAGTGAGAGAATTGCTCATTAACATTGCCCACTTTCCACTTACTAGATTTAATGGTACTTCACGAGTTCAACATAAAAATTATTTTACCAGTAGGCAGAAGAATATCCATAAAATCGCTACTTCAAACTCACTGTTGAATCAACACTGATCATCTACTTTGTCCTTTTTTTGAAGTTCTTTTTGTAGGTTTGTAAAAATCTCAGTTGAGTTTAGAGAAAAATATAGTACTTTAAGAATAATGGACACCATTTTCATATAAAACAATCCTTGGTGGCATTCTTATTAGTCAATATTTCTGAATATACAAATGTTTTTCTATTTGAACCAGTGGTGAAGTGTGAATTCAAATCAAAGGCATGCAGTAATATAATTTGACCTAGTCAGTGAGAGCTTGTTGATGCTAATAAAAAGTGATCAAATGTCTGTAAAACCTCCTTCTATTTCTAAAAAATTATATTGTGCATTGACAAAATCGAAAGACAGAAATATTGTTCACTCCAACTTAGAGGACATATTAGGATGGAACAATTTTCTGGCCTCCATGTATCATTATAATTGAATTTCACGTCCTTAATTTCATACTAAAAATATTAATAAAGGCAAATAGAACATTTTTATTAAATATTGACTACAACAAAACAAATTATATGGGAAATACCATAATGTTTTAAATTTTCACCCTTGAGCAATTTTTCTAACATCCAAACCTGGCATGGATTTTTCGCTTTTTATACAGCCTTCTTCTCGACAAAATGAAAAAGACAATACATGAAACGTAATACTGGAGCTTTATATTCACTTAATTCGAATTAGAACTTTCCAGGAATCATCAACTGATAAGGAACTGTTTCTTGTCCTGTCATGAATAGGTAATATTGGAACTTGGGGAACCCATGGCATTAGGGGAGTGGGCAGTCATAAGACTCAAGACTCACAGCTCAGTTCTCTTTCACTATACAAGCTGTGTGAACGATTAATACATAAAATCTATGACTAGGAGATTTTCCTTCTGCCCCCCCCCCCCCCCCCCCCACAAACACACAACAGCATGCAGAGACCATGAGAGTCCTCCTTCAGCCAAATCTGGCCTTTTATCGCCACTCCTTCCCACCCATGAAACCATTCTGCGTGTACTCAGGATATCTCAAGACCTTCTCAGGACCTTACTGCTTGTATTAATATGAACATGTCTGCAAATTTTATACATACTTGCAGTCCAACGTGAGAAAATTTGAATGTAATTACTGTTTCTTTGTGTTGATTCTTATGCAACAGTTAAACCATATTAAGAATATCTTAAGGCATGTACTGCATATTAAGCCCGCTCTGAATATTCACCACTGATTTAAACATGTCTAAGCTAACACCTACTTACTAAAAGTGAATCTAGTGCCTATTAGAGACTGCAACAGAAAAAAGGGGAAGACAAAACAACAAAAAAGGAAAACAAAAGAATATAAAGACGAACAAAAAAGATGGATCTTCGGAATATGGTTATGTTTGAAATATTTTTTAAAAAATATTCACTCAACAGAGATGGGATTCAATTCATGTCAGCTGAAGAAACTTACTGGTGATGGAGCAGCAGCAGTGCCACTAGCAGGGGGAGTAGCTGCTAAACCTGGAGCAGGAGGCGGCAAAGGGGCTGCTGGGTTGGCCGGAACAGCTGAGCCAACTGGAACAGCTGGATTAGCAGAGACTGATGGAACTGCAGAAACTGATGGGCCTGCTTGAATGACTGGAACAGCGAGAGGAGGGGGGACTGGAGCAAGAGGAGCAAAGGTTTTCTTTGGAATGTTTTCTACAACTTGTATATCTTCCTCTGCAGAATACTTCCAGTCTCTGAACGGATCATCCGAGATTTTTCCCAATCTCCGAAGCAAACTCGTTCCTACAACAATAAAGCATTGTATTTAGGAGAGGGAGAGCCAAGCTTGAATTCTGATAAACTCAATTAGATTACTCGATCTCATATTTCCACTCTTTCTTTCTTTTCTCTAAATGAGAGATGTCATCATTAGAACTTTTTTAAGAGGTTAGCAACTTTTGATAACCATCTTCAGATCTTCCATCTGAGAGTGAGATTTCAACTTCAACTCGCTAATAGCTGCTATACTCCCAAATCAATATAATGGTAAAGACGATACCTTTATTCTTACACCAACAATTATTGCTGTTAACCTGTGGCAGCTGCCTTTTCTTCCAATATACATCCATTATCATTCATTCATCCTTCAGCCCCAAAATTTCATCATCAACTCCACCCTGATTCAAGGGCAAATAATTGAAAAATTGAAATGTCTGGATGGGAGGAGAGGGTACAGAGGAAAAGAGGAGGAGGAGAAGATAATGAGAAATGGAAGGCAAGAACAAGAATGATATAAATGAGGGAGAAGAGAATAAGAAGAAAAAAAGAGATGGAGATGAATCAACAGGGTAAAGAAAAGTTTGAAAGGAAATGGAGGAGAGATGATGATGACAACAGAATAAACAGGAGGCAAAATATACAAAAAAGAAAATTTGTCAAATAATTAAATTGAATATAAACAGAACAGTTTTCCTTCTGAAGGAATCCTTTGGAAGGAATTTTTAGTATTAACTACAATACATTATTATCCCCAGATTATTTACACATGAAATTCTGTTTAGCACAAGAATATTTTCTTAAATATCCCATTTTACAAAAATAAAATAGGTTTCTGTTTGTAAGTAGCAACATTAATTGTTGTGCATAAGATACAAAGGGCTGTCTTATATTAAACAACTTAAAAGTGCTGGTCGTTACTTTTGAACAGTGTGTTGTAAGTATTGAAAATATTTTTATTATAAAAATAAACCTATACTTATAAGAAAGTAAATGTATTAATTCAGAAATTAAAATTATACATCCATTTACATCTGCATAATACAAAAGTTTGTACGTGTCAAAAAAAAGCAAGAATATGCGAACAACTAAGCGGAGTGAAAGGTCACACCACGAGACGCCTCCAGTGTCATCATCATCATCATCATGCCAATAATAGCAGAAACTATAAGAATCTGAATTGTGTTTGCATGATGCAAAATTGAGCAAAATTAATAATACATTATAAAATTTTGAATAGTAACAAAGAGACAAAAAAATAAAAAATAAGGAAGTTGAAAATAATGAAATGCATGAAATGATTGTCTCAATTCTTTACTTGAATTCAGCTAGAAAATAATTGAAAACATTCTGAACTTCAAGGTTAAGGATTTTTTTTAGGTTTTAAAATTTCAATGAAATTTCAATAACTCACCTGTGTTTGCCCTGGTTTGATCTGCTATATGCTTAATAATATTATTATATGCTTGAGAAGGCACAGGCCCCCACCGTTCACGCCAAACCAATTCATCCAAAAATTGCTGTATTATCTGTCGACTCAGAAGTGACAGAGCATTCTACAGACAAAGATAACATGATTGACATTACAATAAATCAACGAAATTATTTCATATTCAATACTCATTAGATAGACAGGCACATTAATACACCTACTGATGTCGAATACAAAGAATGCAAGAAATGTTTGATTATACAGTCATAGATACTAATCAATCATAATTCCATGTGAGGTGCAAATAGAAACATATCGAGTAAACATTTTTAGATCTTTTGTTCCAAATTCAAAGAGAATAAATGCAGAATACAATATTCAGAATTGTGTTTTTTGACTAAGGCACTAAGTACAAAACTTATTGCAATGAAAAAAAGTTAAGATGGAAGTTAATGGATTTAAAGAATTTTTTGTAACTTTTCAGGGGGGTACATAACATATAAATGACACATGGGGAATTTTGAAACAGCTTCCCTTTCTAAGTACATTGTGATAAAACAAAAAAATGTGACTTACATAGATTTCCTTAAATTTTGTTGGGCAAGTTAAGTTTCTGTTGTAGATAGAAGGAAGAAACAAAAGTGTACGGAGAAAGGGAGAGGAAAAATAAAGAAAAAAGAGAAAACAGTGGAAGAATAAGAAAAGTAATGGTGAATTTTAAACATTATTTGCCAGACATTCACAGAGAACAAAAAAGTCATTAAGTAGTAATGAAACTTGTACCTGGAACATTCGAGGCACAACCCTTCTGAGGTAGTTCATTACATTAATATTAGAGTGCTTTGGTATTTTATCTGGGGGAGTATCAGGGTTGACTGAAACTTGCAAAACCGTATTAAAGCCCATATGGTGCAGAGTTCCTTTGTCAACAGTAAAGTCTGTCAGGATGGTAGATTTTTTGTGGACCCATTTGGCTAAAGGCTCCAAAATTTTGACAAACCTCCTCTTATAATTTTTTTCACCTTCCTGCAATAAAAAAAGACACTGTCAACATTGAGAAAGAGCAATAGTGTTTACCAAAAACAATTTTTTAAAATAATTTATTCTACACATAATCCAAATGACATTCTTATTAATAGAATTACTGGAGATCATGTAAGTTCACAAATATATGTTTAGGAAAGATATTGTAACATTACCAGCAACGATTATCACTTAAAGTACTCAAGATCATTCTGATCATGAATACCAGTTAAATAGAAATTGATTTTAAAGGCTGAGGGTAGTAATAAGACACTAGCCACAGCAAGCCTCTTGCTGTTCATAAATATTAATATATCTATTTTGACCAAAGTGTGTCTTATCTCGTTATAGCCTCTCGCCCTTCATGTACATGAACAAAACGTAGTACCAAGAAAAGACACACTTGAAGGGCTGAGCGCAATATTTGTCTCACATCACAAAAAAGTCACTGAAAAGCATTTGTTATCTAGGAATGTGAATTATATTTGTACATTGTTGGCTTGACCAGTTTTCCTCTAAAAAGTTCAGAATGAATTCACTAGGTTTTCACTTCACAACACTTTCTAACCTCAATTGTGCAACAGTGACTTGATTTTTCTTTATTTTCTTAAAATGTGGTGTAGAGCACTATTGTGCTGACCGCTTCAATTATAAATAGTGTAACACTTGCTATGGCTGGTATGGCATGTTGTTATTAGCCCACGCCTTTCATTTATATTTAATGATCTTCATGTTTTGACGCCCTACCCTATTACCAATAATTCAACTTGTGAAGTTTGTTTCATTACAGTGCTTAATTTCAGGTAACAAATGCTTTTAATATTTTTATATGATTAGAAGGTAACACAAAATATTCTAATTGTCAACCAATATAAACATTAAAGCCTCAAAGCAAACAAAAACATTAATAATGTAACAATGAGTGTGTGTCTGATCGAGCGAATGTGCGTGTCTGAGTTAGCAAGAGTGTGTGGGTATTTTAAGTATTATCTTTTATTATCAGACATATATTTTACTCAATTTGTCAATAACAAACAATGGATACATAAAACAGTATGTACCTAAACTGCTATACACAGAAATCTTAATATACGCACCTGTAATGGTTCAATGGCTCTTAGGCGAACTAATTTATTATCTGGATCCATTACACCAAGAACTTCTACTTTGACATTACGGGTACTTCCATCTTGAGCAGCAGTTCCGAGACTAATTACACCCACCTAGAAATGGAAAAATTCAAAATATATCTCAAACAAATTATGGCAATAGCATGTCGGTTCCTCAGTCAAACAATTTAAGCATTCACAAATTAGATAAGCAATTCGTAGTCTATTTGATTTATTCACTCGTATGTAATCGAAGGTTCCTGTGAGCTGATCAACACCATTGTCACTTCAACCCCTTTCTAAAGACTAAAGACAGAGATTTTCGGGTGTAGAACAGTCCAAATCAAAAGTCTGCAAGCTGAGTGCACTTCAACGGATAGAAGACGACTTGATTACATCAGTAATGTATCCTGCTTGAGTTGTTCTTAAGTTTTCAGGTATTTAAAAAAGTTTTTTTTATGACACTTGGTGTTTCATTAAAAGATGCCCAGATGAGATCAAGTGTTATTGAGAATGTGTATTAAAGGTCACATAGGAAAAGCCAAAAGCAAATAATATTTCTCCAAATACAAATGAAAATAGAAATGTTTTAATTCAAATTGGAAGACAAAATCATAAATATACTTACCTCCACTCTCTTGTTTGGACCACCCATCAAGTCATAACTTTCATGAACTGCTGCAGTACAGACAGCTCGCATCTGAGCGAAAAACATTTTCACATAAAAGCTTTCAACCTTCACCCATGATACAATATTGCTAGCAGTTGTCTGACATGCCCAATGATATATAAGTTTCATGAGGACCAGAGGTGGATGAGGAGCACCTTCAAATATAGAACCACTAAATACCTGTAGGAAAAAAAAAAAGAAGAAAAAGGGTATGATTACACTTGGAAGTATTAAATCTTCTGGAATTCAAATTCCAGTTCTAAAAGGTTCAAAATTCTTTCGAGTCCTTGTATAGTAAAGTTAGACAACTTTACTATACATAAACTTTCTTCACGATTCATTAAATACTCATCAACAAGAATAAATCTGTTTCTTTATGAGCTTTTTAAGATGTTTTGTGGGGCTTGGGAAAATATTTGAATGGACAATCCACCACAAAAATAACAAGTTCCTTAGATTATGAAAGCTAATTTGGAAAAGGGGACAGGTAGGGATAGGCTAATTAAATTAAGAATGGCTTGGTTAATTTTTCTACTTGTATTAAATTACATAAGCAGTATCGCATTGCCTTAATTTCATCAAATTCAAAAAAGAGTTGTCTAAAGAAAAATGAGAGGGAAAACTAGAATATGTAGAGGAAATAAAGGTCTTTGCAAGAGATGTTCAATCTTCCTCACCATAATACATCCTTTACATCTACTACTATATTCATCTTTTCCAACACATGCCAACTGTTTCTGAGAGATTTTGTATATTCAAAACACTCAAAACGACATCCCCAGAACTGAATTTTAAACATTAGTAACAGGTAACTCCCCACCTCCAAAAGAGAATCCTATTTGCAAAGGTTCCTATTGATTTAGTGGAAGTGGAGGAGGAGGAGGAGGAGGAGGAGGAGAAGGAGGAGGAAGAAGAAGAATAACCATACCTTTCAGCTTAGAAGAATATATTTAACACAAAATACTGCAATATTCTTTAATTTAATGTCGCATCACAAGTTACAATTTCATCCTCAGAGAAATATTAAATTAAATATTGTATCCCTTGTAATAAGGTTTTGTATATGTCGCTGCTGGGAAATTCTTCCACTTTGTAACCCACCCGGCAACTAGAGGCCCTTCACCTTTACAGGATTGTAATGGGCTATAATAATAATAATAATAATAATAATAATAATAATAATAATAATAATAATAATAATAATAATATGTAGCTGCACAAATTCTCTATCAATGGGTTTGTACAATTTTGATCATAATCGTAGTCATTGTCAACATATTAAGGTTTGGGTCCCATGGCCTGTTCCTTGTTTCCGGTATTCCCCTACACTAGTTAGGTGTTCCTGGTCTATTTAGTCTAATTAGGGTCTCTATTTCATCTTGGTCTGTAGTTCATTACCATCTTTGTAAGTTTACTTGGTTTCTTCTTATATGTTCTTGCCATGTTGCCTGGTATTTCTCAATTTCTGTAACCACATTCTTTGTTTTCAGTATTTTCTGTACTTCTTTGAACCTTATTTTGTCTTTTCTAGTTATTTGAAGTACTGCTCTCAGATACCTCGCTTGGACTGCCTCTATTATCTGATTGAGTGTCCATGTTTCACGGACATATTGTAGGGTTGGTTCTGCCATTATTTTGTCAATTCTTTTTGTTTCTTTATTTATGTTCCAGAAGTGTCTGATTATGCAGCCATTGATCTTGTCAGTTTTGTTCCTATATCTTCCTATTTTGTTGCCTAGATTTGTGAAAGTTGCTACTTGTTCAATTATCTGATTATATATTACAATTTTTATTCTGCAGTAATCTTTTCCTGCTATTCCCATTGCCTTGGTTTTCCTTTTTAAATTTTCATTTAATATTCTTTTGCTATTCCATTTAGTACGTGTGCTGCGTTTTGGAGTTCATCTTCAGTTGAAGCAAGTATCACCTGATCATCAGCCTATAATATTGTTGCTATATGTACATATACATACACACACACACACCATGTAATTAAAGAATGGAAGAAGGAAACAGGGGAATAATATATAGTCTGATCCCCATAATTCCACACGATCTCTCCAGGATTGAATACAACTGGGCCTTGGACAGAGAAATTTGTTGCGTTGTCAGTAGTGGCTCATACACAAATAATAATATATTGAATAACAAGGGGGAAAGTCCTTGTCTTAGTCCTACATTTGTGGATATTGTTTTGGAGATGCTTCCATCCATGTTTTGTATTTCTTAGCTCCTCAGTATACGCTTTCTATTGCTTTTATAAGATGATTGTCCACTTGATCTTCTTTTAGGATATCCCATAGTTTCATCCTATCCACCTTATCATATGCTTTTCATAATCAATAAATAACAACAATGTTCGTAGATTTTGTTCACTTCTTCTCTTAACTATGTTCCACCCTGAAGATTGCAGCAATTGTGCTTCTTCCTCTCCTACAACCATATTGTTCTTTATCAAGCTTGTTTTCCATGTATTCTGTTATTTGTTTTTAGTATAACTGCTTAGATTTTGTAGGTTGTGGTTTGCAAGGAAATTCCTCTATACTTTTCGCATTTGTTTGTTGGCCCCTTCTTATGCATGTTTATCACTAATTCAGTTTGGCGTTCTTTTGGGATTTTTAGTTCTGCCTATATTTTATTTATGGCTTCTATTAACTTTTTCTGGGTTTGTTTTCCTGCATATTTCACTAATTCTATATTTACACTCTCTGGTCCAGGGCTTTTCTGATTCTTTGTTTTCTTTATCACTTTCTCTTGTTCTTCCATTTCAATGTCTGGATTTCCTATTTTTATTCTCTTATCGCTTTGTGGTCCTCTTCAATCTGCAATAAGTTTTTATAATCTACGTTTTATCTGGAATGATGTTTTAAGTAAGGTGCGTCTTTTTTCCATTTTTAGATTCTCATGTAATTTCAAATCTATTCTTTGTGGTTCAGTTCTATCTCTTGCTATTATTTTGATGAATTTGTTCCAGTCTTCTCTTCTCTTTTTCCTGGAGTTTCTTCTTACCTGTGCAAGCAGTTGTTAATACTCTATATAATCTGTTTTTTGCTATTAATTCTGCGATCTCATTGTTCCGGGATTGAAGTCAGTTTTTGTTCTTCTTTTGTTTTTTTAACCTATTGGTTCTTCCACAACAGCTTTTATATTTTGTTTTAACTATTCCATTTCTCTTCTTCCTTTTCTTTTGCATTATTTTGTTCCTCCTCCAGTAATTTCTGTGTACTCTTCTTGGATTCAGATCTTTTATTTCTTAGTAATGTTTTTTGTGCATTCGTTATTATGTTTGGTTTTTCTTTTATTGTTGGTTATCTGGATCACTATTTTGCTTTTAATTCTCGCTGAAAGCACTAGCACATTTATTATCCAGAAAAGAATATTGCGAACAATGACCAGCACTCATAGGCTGGAGTCTTGCAAACCCTTGTTCAATAAACTGATTCTTCCTCTTCCATGCATGTATATATTTGAAATAGTTGTCATCACAAAGAAAATTCTCATGGAAAACAAAGACACTTTTACAATAAATTCTGATACACACAACTACAACACTCATCAAAAGGTTAACCTACATGTTCCCCACTCTGAAACTACACTTTATCAAAAAAATACCCTAATAGAGGGCATTGCACTTTACAACAAACTAGACTATGATATTAAAAGAATTCTGTTTCTTCCTGGATTCACTAGACGCATTAGGTGCTGCAGTAGGACTATGCCTACAAATTGAAAGAAAAGAAAAAACAAGAAAAAGAAAAGAAAGAAAAGTAAACTGCTGTAAAACACAATAAGTAGGTAAATCTTGTATGAATGTAGAAATTATATATAATTAAATTATATATCAATACGTGGAAAATTACTTACTCTAAGACATTCTGTAGTCAGAATCCACGCTTTGTAGGTACCGAAAAAATTTTACGACAAAACTTCTGTGCGTGAAGAACGTTAGCAGCTAACCAGTAAGCAGGGTTTTCACTGAAATTCTCCCATCCCTCTGCTTGATTCCGCGGCCCCTTCACTTTAAAATGGATATTTTGATTTTGGGGGTACTTTACATGAAGCCTTAACAACATTGGCAAAATTTTCTAAAAAATTGCCCAAATTTTTTGATAATTTTTTCTTAGCACAAAAAGCGCATATAAAATGGGGGTTATATTAATGAAATGTGTTGTACAAAGCTGTAACATTAAATAAGGTCATCTAAAATCTGAGTAATTTTTGTACAAACTACGATGTTGATAGCGATTTTTTACTTCATGAAATGTGGTACTTTTTTTAAAAAAATGAATAACCACGTAATTTTTACAAATTTTCAAAATTGGAAATTCGAATTTTCTATACTTCTTTTGGTAGAATCGTCCAGAAGCTATGGTAGTATGTTTTTCTCAGAATAACTTCATTGTTGGACAGTGTTTCTGGGTGTAGGGAACACAGTTTTGGATTGGGAATTTGTGTTAATGTATTAGCTTTAAATGAATTAAGTTTTCGTGCATAATGAGCGAATGATAACGCACGATTGGTAATGCGAAATACAAATGATGGCTGAGATATGTTGATATGGACAGAAATTGCGGTATTATGATTTACGTCACCGTTACTACTGCGAGAAAGTTCGTGCTGTTGGAGCGCCATTGGTTCACACTGAAAACAGTTGGCAATTACTTCACAATTATGGCAATTGCGCCATTCCCGTTCAGCTGGCACACACTAGTTTTCTACGAGGGGCCAGTACACACTCGTTTTTTCGTAGTGATAGGCGGTGGCAATCAATAATAAAGTCTGGGAATTGGCTATTAATTAAAATCCTCATTTCATTTCCGCCCAGCTACGGAACGAATTTATCTCTTACAAGCTGACGTCAAGCCGAGACACTCGTTTTTCGCAGCGATATCAGATGGCAAGTAATTAGCAATTACTTCGCAATAAATGCTCGAGCTATTTCCGTCGCGGTGTGAATAGAATTTATCTTGTATGTGTGCTGGCGTCGCGTCAAGCCACCTCACACCCATTTTCTCAACAAAATTATTAAGCAATAAATTCATAATTGTGGCAATTAATTAGCAATAAATACTATCACTTTTGTTCAGTTACGGATCGAATTTAACTCTTAGGTATCCTGGTATTGCGACGCGTCGGATAAAGCCAACACACACTCGTTTTACATGGTGATAATAGACGAC